CGCAGCCGAAGTAACAGGGTGAGACAAAGGGAAATGGGGAAGGAGTGGGGGGGATCTCCTCGAGCGGGGCCGGGCAGTGCCGCAGACGGGTACCCGTCAACCCGAGCAGCAGAGGTGTTTGCTGATGTCCAGAGCCTGGTTCTCATTTACCTTCTTGCTCCCCAGAAAGGGTTTTGGGGTGGCGGGGCGGTGGGGGGCATTCCCACCCCTCCCCAGGCACGGTGAACTCCTTCCCAGGGCTGTGGAGTGTGGGGGCTCCTGGGGAGGCGTGGGATTCGGGGGAGAGGAGGCCTCTTCCCCAGCCATGGTCACCACGCATACATAGGGCTCTGGGATCAGCACAGGGAGGGGACACTCGGCTGGAGGGTGGGACAGATCCCATCCCCTGGCCATCCCCAGCTTTTCCACCAGGAAAAAACCTTTCCATCCCCACTGTCCAGTGTTGGCAGCGACGTCCGCACTTAACCCTCTTTGTCTCATTGATCCTGTCATTTCCCAGGACTTTCCTTGCTCCTGCTTTTCCCAGGTCTTCGCCCCACCAGGCAGCCTGCTCCCCAACTCCTGCCCATTTATCCTTGCTCTCCCCTGGCCCCTCGCTCCTGCCAACCTCTCCGGGGCTGAGAGCACAGTGCTCTTACCCAAAAACGCACAGCTGGGTGGCAAGCACAAACCTCAGAGCCATGCCGTGCCTCAGTTTCCCCAAGCGAGCACCCGGGAGGATGCTCAGTGGCTTTGCTGAGGCCCTCAGCAATATTTTAAGGCCAAATTTCCCAACCGCTGGGTCGTTCACTCAACTAAACACTCTTTGCAATTGTCCTTTTCTCATCCCCCTGCCTTCTCCAACCGCTCCTGCTCTTGAAATTCGAGATGGCCAAATTTAAATACTTCTCCAGCCCCCTACGGTTTATAACAAAAATGTGGCTATTGGAGCTACCAGATACAAAGGTATGTAATAAATATGCTGGTGCATGAACAGCTCCCCGACTCGCAGCCTATTAGCACAATTTCACAGTAGTTGGAATGGTTTATTGTTGCCGTAATCCATCGTCCTATACAAAAGCGGGCGAAATGAAGTTTCCTACAGCAAAGGCATTCCTTTGAAAACTCGTTTTCCTGAGCTCTGTTTATGACACAGGGGATTTTATGTTCCTTCTATTTTCCTTCGCTCATTCAGGGACTGTTGTGAAATAATTGTTGAAAACAGGCATTTAAAAAAAAAAAACACAAAAAACAAACCCCGCCATCTAACAACTTCAGTCATTTCTCTAGTGATAACGATATTAATTTCCCATCTCACCAAGCCATATGCCGATGGACGAAGCTCTCCCAGAGTCTCATCTCTGCTGAATGTGTTTAGAATTAAGGAATTAACCTTCCTGTAGCATCTCCCATCTCCCTCACAACTGCCTGACTCCTCATCTCACCCAGCAGATCATGTCTTCTCTGTAAGACTTGATTCTTTCAACCATCCCATTGCTCCATTCGTGTCCTCCACATAACACATTTAAATAAATGCATATAACAGAGCACCGGTGCCTTGTGAGTCCACAAAGAGCTGCTGAGGAAGCATGGAGCACGTTTAACCACCTCAGCAAGTGCGTGAGCTTTATTTGTTTGGTTATTTTTTTTTATTATTTTGAGATTTTTGTATTAATTTGACTTCATTAATTCACCCTAACGGACGCATCCACCTAAACTGCCTTTCCTCTCACTTGTGTTTCTCATCTCTCGCTCCATCCCATGCACTAGGTTATGAACCTTAATTCACAACACACCTAACAACCACAGAATTACAAAGTTGCATTATTTTCAATCGGTTTTGCCATTGACACAAAAATATCTCATTGCAGAAATGTTCGCAGAACCTCCACCTTTTTTTTTTTAACATGGAGAAAAAGAGAACACCGCAAACTTCTGCACATATTGCAGGGCAGGTAGCAATAGGCGAGCAGAAAGTGGAGCTGGGCAGTGCCCTCCCACCCAGGAGGAGAGTGTTGGGTTTTCTAATGGCCAAACCTCTCATAATTTTTAATTAAAAGGTTTTTGTAATGATCTGAAGTTGTTTTAGCAGCACAGGTGAAGGCATAAGAAATTGGGCTTTAAGGATGGCTTTTACCCCGCTGGTTAGAAGTGATGCAGCCGTGCCATGTTCCTTGCCCGTGCGTTTGTTCCAGCTCTTTTCTTGCAAAAAAAAACCCCACTAAAAGCGAGAAAAAGTCATCCAGCGCTCGGAGATGCCCTGTCGCAGAGCTGCACAACAGGCAGAGCGCGGCGTGAAGCCTGCAAACCACATGCAAAGGAATCGATGACAGCTGGAGCAGGGCTATGGCACGGAGCGGCAGCACTGGGCACGCGCCAGAGCCCGCCGGGCTGGAGCTGGGAGCCGAGGCAGGACGGTGGGTACTGCGGGTGGGTGGTCAGGCAGACCCAGGGACACCAGTGACTCAAGCGAGGGCTCGGGCTCCCCTGTTGTTTTGAGGTCAGACCACAGAACTCATCTCTGCGTGGCCCCACATTTGGATTCTCAGGCTGGAGGGACGCGATCGTAGTGCTGGTTGTCCGCCGTGGGGGATGGATGGGCTCATCTCAGTGGGCGCTGGAGCACAGTGCCCTTTGCTGGGGCAGATACATCAAACCCCTGGTCCTGCACTCCTTAGATGTGGGGGCTGTCCCAGGAAACAACAGACCCCCAGATATAGAAGACATTTAACACCTTTATCTTTTTAAACTCAGAACAAGGGCGAGTTGTTCCTCGCGGATTTTTGTGAGAGCATGAGGAGCTCCCGAAACGCTGCTTCCCATTCCTTCTGCTTTCCCTCTGCTCCAAATGATGTTGCAAGTGAAATTCCACAGCTGGGTCCTGCAAATCTCCGTCCGCTCCGCTCTGTCGTGGGCCGCCGTAAATCAGGGCCCTGGTATTAGTTCTTTTGATTAAATTCACTTCTGATATTTGCCAGATTATTGGCACTAATGTCATTCTGTCGGAACGGAGACTCGGCAGGATTTGACAGCCCGGCTGTAAAACAGCTCCGCACTTCGGGGGAAGGATTTACACGCTTTTTGATGAAAAGATGACAAATGATACGCGTCATGAGCGCGCTCGTGCTGAGGCTGCAGGCGTAAACCCCTTCTGGAGGGGCAGGATTTGGCGCCTGGAGAGGTCACTTTCATTAGGACTCAACGTTTCGGTAAAAAAAATGGGATCTCCTGCCTCCCCCGTGCTGTCACAGCCCCGTGCCCGTGCCGAGCCTGGCAGGATTTTCCGTCTGCGTTGGAGGATTATTTAGTGACTTGTGCAAAAAAAAACCCAAACCAGCACTCCCAGCATACTGCCCGTCCTGGCTTGTACCCACAAAGGCTCAAGGCTTTGACATTTGCTTTTTGGAGACGATTTAGGGTCAAGCAGAGAGAAGGCAAGTGCTGTCCCCATGGGCTCAGCCTCCGGTCCTTGATTCCGTGGGTGCAGATGTAGTTTTTCTCCCCACCCAGCTGCAGGCATTTTGGAGGGGGGTGGGAATAAAGCAGCTGGA